ATCTCATCTTTCACAATAGACTCCAAAATTTTACCAATGGCCAAGGTCATGCTGATCGGCCTGTAATTTCCCGTCTTTTGCCTTATTCCCTTCTTAAACAGGTTTGGTTACATTAGCAATTTTCCAGTCCTCTGGGACACTCCCTGACTCTAGTGATTCCTGAAACATCACCACTAACACTTCCACTATCTCTTCAGCTATCTCCTTCAGAATTCCGGGGTGTATCCCATCTGGTCCAGGTGACTTATCCAGACCTTTCAGTTTTTCTAGTACTTTCCCCTTAGTGATGGCTACTACACTCACCTCACTACCCAAACCCCGCACCCCACCCCCCCGACTCTCTTGAATTTTTGGGATTTACTCATGCCTCCCACTGTGAAAACTGACACAAAGTATTTGTTCAGTTCCTCTGCCATTTCTTTGTTCCCTATTACTACTTCTGTACATAATTTTCCAGTAGCCCAATGTCCACTTTTACCTCTCTTTTGCGCTTTATATATGTAAAGAAACTCTTGCAATCTTCTTTTATATTACTGGCTAACTTACCCTCATTTTAAATCTTCTGCCCCCCATTTCTTTTTTAGCTGTCCTCTGTTCATCTTTGTAGGCTTCCCAATCCTCTGCCTTCCCATTGCTCTTTGTCGCACTGGACGCTTTCTCTTTTGCTTTTATGCTGTCACCCCAAAAATGCAGATAAAAGGGGGGATAAGGTGGAGGTGGAATGGTGGTGATGGGAGCCCATTACCACCATTCTGCCTCCACTCCTCCACTGCCCAACCTTTATCTGCAGCTGCCCCTACGCCCACATCCACTCCTGAAGAAGGGTAATACCTGAAATGTTGACTGCTCCTTTCCTCCAGATGCTGCCTGGCCTGTTGTGTTCTTCCAGCCTCCAGTCTGTCTACCTTGGATTGCAGCAACTGAAGTTTTTTTGTCTCTAGCTCTACCAACAATGTTGTACTCCCTCAATTCTGCACTGGACTGTTATTCCAAATTTCTGTGCTCAACTCTCAACCTTCTGACTCAGGCTAGAATGCTACCATCTGAGTCACTAATTACACACAATTTGTTCCTATGGTTAATCCTTTCTCTTCCACTTGGCATCTTAAATACCTCTGCAAAGTTTCTTGCCAAGGTGAAGAGCTAGGTTTTTCCAACCTTTGTTCATATGCCAATCCTCTGGCAGCATTGATATCTCCTTTTTGTACTGTTTTCATTTGAAGGAGAGGATTGGCCCAGATATTGGAACCACTTGCCTTTTGTTCCATGGGATCTTTTATATCCCCCTGGAATTGCAGAGGTGTTGGTGACTGTTGTCAATACAATGTCCCCTCGGTTCTACATTTAGCTGTCAGTCCAGATCATGCGTTCAAATGTGGCCAATTTATAATTGAACAATCCTCTTGTATTTCAGTAACTACTTACCCAAGTACGTCATTCAATGTGTAATCTGACCAGAGCATTTTGCTATTCTCAAGGCATTCATCTCAAGGCTGATTTGGGAGTATCATTTAGTGTCCAGTTTGTTTCTGAGTTCATGCTCTAAAATGGTTGAAAATGGCCAATGTTTAAACAATTTGCACAGCAGTTCTTTTTTAGTCTCTCTTCTAACTTGTCTGGCCTCATAGTTGAGCATGTTTTATCTTTCCTTGACTGATTCTTCTTACATTAGAAATGTCTTGTATATGACTGATCCTAAAGCACAGAGTTGAATTTATAAATCAAGGTGTAACCAAAATTGATTAATTTATTGTTGTCAAATGTACCATGATACAGTGAAAAGTATTGTTTTGTGTGCTATACAGGCAGATCATGCCATACAAAGTGCATCAGGGTAGCAGAACAGAGTGCAAAATACAGTGTTATTACAGGTGCAGCGAGAGAGAGATCAGAATTAACATTTGAGAGGTCCATTCGAAAGTCTGATAACAGCGGGGAAGCAGCTGTTCTGGAATCTATTCGTACATATATTCAAACTTTTGTATCTTCTGTCCTTTGGAAGAGGGTGAAAGAGAGTGTAACCAAGGTGGGAGGTGTCTTTGATTACATTGATTGCTTTCCCAAGGCAGTAGGAAGTATAGATGCAGCTAATGGATTGGTTTGCATGATGCACCGGGCTGTTTTCACGACTCTCTCTAGTTTCTTGTGGTCTTGGAAACAGCAGTTGCCATACCACACTGTGATGCAATGAGGTAGGATGCTTTCTATGGTGCATCTATAAAAATCAGTAAGAGGTACTTGTGGACGTGCCGAATTTCCTTAACCTCCTGAGGAAGTAGAGACACTGTTGTGCATTCCTGACCATCACGTTGAAGTGGGTGGACCAGGACAGATTGTTGGTGATCATTACTCCCGGGAACTTAACATTCTCCACCTCAGTACCATTGATGCAGACAGCAGTGTGCCCTCCATTCCAGTTCATGAAGTCAATGACCAGCTCCTTCATTTTGCTGACATTGATGGAGAGATTGTTGTCCATGATTAATTGATGTCTATTATTAAAGTCAGTTAAAGTTACAGCAGCAGTATAAATCTTTCATTTTTAAAAGTCCCCTTGCAGATAAGTTAAACTAACCATAACTTTATCTTCTATTTCATTAAAATGAATTCTTGGTAAGTTGATATATTCCAGATAATGAATAACATTTTGTATAATGCTAAGTATTTAGTGACCAAACATTCATGATATTCCAATCAAACCAAAGTAGCAGTGGGCGTAAGATCTGGAGTTCGTTAAGTGGATGACATACACACACTTTTGCACTCACATTGAACTGATAAGCATATTATTTCTCATCATTTTTGCCAAATGTTACACACATTGTTTACAAAAACTGCTATTTGAAGTGAGCATCCTCCCCACTTCTAAGAACACACATGGCTCGACATAGTATCTTTCACTATCTTCATTTCCACCTCCTCCTCAGTGCACATACATAAATGAATACATGCTCATGCTAGAATGTGCTGAAGACATAAATTCGACTAGAGGGCAAGAAAATCTTCTAGAACATGATTTCTTTGCTTTATTTGCAAAAATATTTGATTTGCCGGCAAACTGAATGCTGTTAGGACTCATAATAATGACTTACTAATGCTAACACTTTATCCAACAACTGGTCGAAAGAGGCTCTTTCAAATCTGTCATTTATTCAACCTATACATTATTTCTTTTTTGAAATATTTTAAATATAGCCACTTTACTGGTGTTATTCAGATATTTTCTTCTTATCAGAACAGCATAGGTGTCTAACTTGGCTTGTTGGTAAGCTGGGTCAGAAGGTTATGGGTTCAAGTGCAACTTCAGCAACTGGAATGCTAATTAGAGCAATCAAGATACTTAAATTTAAAAAGAGAGCATTGCATTGATGACTGCAATTGGCACCTCTGTTATCAAAGCAGATGTGAAAGATCCCATGGAAGAAAAGGGAAACGTTCCTAGTGTCTGAGCCAGTTCCGATCCCTCAAATGATATTATTCAGTCATTATGTTATTGCTGTTCGTAGGTTCTTTCTGTGTCCAAATTAACTGCTAATTTTCCCTACATTCCAATCGTGTCTATTCTTTGAAAATATTTAATTGACTGTAGAGCTCTTTTGTGAGGCTGTGAACAACTCTATATGACTGCAAGTTCTTTCTTTTCAAACAGTAATTTGGATACTGAACGATTATAAGTGTTAAATCATACTTTTTTGTTCCTTACGTACATTCATTCACCGAATCAATTTTACATTCCATTGAGTAATTCACTGGGAAAAGTCCCTGCCCCTGAGTATGATGTCCTTTGCCACTTGCAGCCTTTTAAAGGGAGGCGATCAACACAAATAACTTACTTCATTGTGTAAAAGAAAAACTACTTTCCGAAGGACAAATCTATATAAAATTAGTTCTAAGCTGACAGTAACAGAGTCTGTAAATAGTGCCTTGACAGTACACAAGACAGTTCTGAAACTGCAATAATTACTCAGCACTAGAAAGATTGGTTTAGATTCATACATCTGGGTGGAAAAGGGAACTAACGTGAAATGCAACGATTTTCAACGACTAATGCTCTCAAATATTAATATAGTATTATTTCTACACAACATTGCAGAAAGTTCCAGCTTTCACTTATTCTGCCGTGCCAAAAAACACAGAATTAATCTGTTCTGAACCCTTGACATTTAAAAGCAGGAGTTTCCCCAACTTTTCTTAATCATTCTCAAAGTTAAAGCATTTCAAAAAAATTCTAATTCATGTTCAAACTTTTACTGTTTCCTATTTGTTTCCTATTTCCTAGCAGAATCACACAGAAGCATCATAGATAATATTTGTAAAAAGCAGTTCACATTTATAAATCTTTATTTTTATTTTTAAAAGTCCAGGGTGTTACACAGGAGCAGTATTAGCCAAAAATTGACACAAGGGTGAATACAGAAATATTAAGACAGATGACCGAAATCCTGGTCAAAGAGATAGACAAAATTATAGAAATAGGGAAGAGAGCTGAGTCTGGGTTGGAAGCTCTTCAGAGGGTCAGTGTAGGCTTGATGGGCCAAATGGCCTCTTTCAGCATCGTAGGGATTCTATGATTCTGTGAAAAGGTGTCTTCAAGGATAAGAGAGAGGCAAAGGGATTTAAGGAGGATATTATAGAGCTTAGGATGCTTGGTGGCTGAACACATGACTATCATTGGCACTGTAATTAAGATTAGAGGTGTACTAGATGCTTGAATTGATTCATGCTTTCTCTGTTCATTGCTATCCAGTGACAGTCACCTGGAAAGGCTACATATAGAGATCGTGTGGACAGTTTGGCAATTACATACACCTCGTTGAACAAATTGACATGATGAAGTCAATGGAAAATTGAATCAGACAATGTGCAAACCAGGCTGCTAACTGATCCAGTGCCAATCATTGCCCATCTGGCAGGAAAAATCTTGCATTCATTCCCATTACATAAATATATTGAGTTCTTCTGCTGCTACTTTGTCAACCAATCCTGGCCTTCTTTTTCAGCTGGTCTCTGTGTGAACCGTTGGAGCTTGGAAGAACTCGTGAGCAGAGATCCCCACAGCTTTTTAATCCTCATCGAGAAGATACTGCTGAAAACTCAGGAGGTAAGGGACAAGGGAAAATAAACCACCTTAGCAGAGTTTACAAACACTTTCCTCTGTTTGAAGTTGATTGGTTTGGTTTGTGAAAGGTATGATGCATGTTTTAGTCAAAAAAGAACAAGCATATTAAGGAAAACTTTGTGAATGTATGATATACAATATTTTTCAGGATACTTTTGTGACCAGAAGCATTATTAGACATACTGAACTGCTTGGGTTTGTGATACACAAGTATGAGATTGAATAGTTCATGAGTGCATTTTTAGGTTAGTCAAAATGCATGCATTCGTTTCACATTACAATAATATGGGGATATCATCGTTGTGAAAGTGTTGGGAAAGTATTGAGTTTGCTCCCAACAAAAGCCAATCCTTGCCTCTGATTGGCTTCTGTCCCTGGTGCCTTAGTTCTGTGGGGAGGTCATATACCCAATACCTGCCTGGCATTGGCTTCAGTAGGCCTTGCTTTGAAGAGTCCAGCATTGGCTGGCTGTCCAGACTGTTGTGAGATACCTGTCACCACAAGCTTCTGATGCTTGATTCTGTGATTTGGAACTGGGTTGAGCTGCCTTTCTTTTCATGGACCGGCTGCTTCATTGCTTTCAGCCTTTCTTCAAATTCCACTCATTTTCCCTCTTTTTGCTTCTTACTTTACAACAGCTTCCTCCATCTCTCCTTTGGTCACCTAGAGCTACTGTTTAAGTTTTTATTCTTATTCTTTACTTCCTAGCGCTTCAGGGAAATTTCCTCTTTACTCCCTTATTGCACCTTTTTCTTTTAACATAGAACATAGAACAGTACAGCACAGTACAGGCCCTTCGGCCCATGATGTTGTGCCAAAGTTTTACCCAAAACCTAAGGTCTATCTAACCTCCACCGCTACCTTATACTATCATCCATATGCCTATCTAATAGCCGCTTAAATGCCCCTAATGAGGCGGACTCCACACCCTCTCCGGCAATGCATTCCATGCCCCTACCACTCTCTGAGTAAAGAATCTACCTCCTTTCACTTTAAAACTGTGTCCCCTCGTAAAAGCTACCTCCACCCTAGGAAAACGTCTCTGGCTGTCTACTCTATCTATACCTCTGATCATTTTGTACACCTCTATCAAGTCACCTCTCATCCTTCGTCGTTCTAAAGAGAAAAGCCCTAACTTTCTCAACCTTTCCTCGTAAGAACTTCCCTCCATTCCAGGCAACATCCTGGTAAATCTCCTCTGCACCTTTTCCAAAGCTTCCACATCTTTCCCGTAATGAGGTGACCAGAACTGGACACAATACTCCAGGTGTGGATTATTCTCTCTCATCAATTTGTTTCCGAGCTCAGAGACATAGGGTTGAAAATTCACCTGGCCTGGGCTGCAGAAGTATAGCCCACATGTTTAAATGACCCAGGAGCTAGGATCATTAAAAGCTCCTGACCTAAATAATTAGATTGAGCTGGATGTGCTTCCACATAGACACTCCTCTGACCAGGGGGAAGTCTTTTCAAGCCTTTCTCAGTGAAGTGAATCCCACAAGAGGGAGGTGATTGCCTGCAGAGTCAAGGGAGCATTCCTCCTTCCCCTGGATCCAGAGCAAAGCTTTATAAAATACCTTCAAAGTTACCTTCAGTTGATGGTTACTGAAAGATCCAGCAAGGAACAAGCCCCACACTTTGAGAACTCATTGTGGCAGGGGCACTTCAATCAGGCATTAGTACGCGGATAAACACATTCAAGAAGCTTAACTCGTGAGGAGCAAAGTGCATCAATAAAATTATCATTGAAAACTAAAATATCCAACATGAACTACCTGCTTCGAGACACAGCTGAAACTAACAATTTTTATTTAGATGCCTGAGTGGATTAAATGATCATGTACTGGAGTTTATTCTTGGTCAGTGTTTGGTTTGAATTTATCAAATCAAATCCAAACTAAGAAATAATGCAGTTTAATGTATTTTGTGCAGGTTATGAAGCAAAACATTTAAGTTGTTACGGATTCTAACGTATGATATTTGATTTAAAGCCTGACTCTGTGCTGACTACCCCGGGCTGAAGCAAGTTGTAGGACAGATTCAACATGTACAGCTTTTATCTAAAAATGCAAACTAGTTGCAAATTTGCAGCCCTGATGTGATGATCACTGTGAAACACAAATGTGCCTCCCTGTGAGGTTAGTGTGATGATTCTTTGTAAAGATATCACCACAGAATGCTAACTTTATATGGTGCATATTTGTTGTTGAGATCATAACCACAACAGGTGAAGCAATACAATTTGCAAATGCCCACGGAATATTGGCTGTAGATCCCTTCTTTGTTTTATCTAAGCTTAATGTTGAGAATAAGACAATGAGAACATACATTCCAATAAATTGGCTATATCATTGGATATGTTTCTCTGACCATTCAGAAATGATGCTGATTGTCCATTTGAGTGGATGACAGTGAATCGAAATATGGAGAGGCAATATCTTTTATGTAAACCACATACTTATTTGTTTGATGTTCAAAGGTGGAGTATTGCTCAAAAAAAAATATTAACCAAGCGTTCGTAGTTGATACCGGTCTGATAAACAATGTAGAATTCACTACATTGGCAAAAGGTAGCAAACGAGTACAAAACCTTTAATTATAGCTCACTGTTGATTTCACCCAGGGCAGCATTCAGAACGGTAAAAGGTTGGGGGTCCTCTTTCTAGAACAGAGAAACTGAAGGGAGACCCAATACAAGTCTAAAATTATGAAGTAGTTTGATAGAGTAGATGTAGAGAGAGCTCAAGACAAAGGTTCATAAGCATGGGATAGTCACTATAATAAATCCAACTAGAAATTCAGAAAAACTTTTTTTTTATTGAAGCAGAGTGCTGTGAATATGGAACTTGCTACTACACAGAGTAATTGAAATAAATACACTTACGGGAAAGTTAAGTACGAGAGAGAAAGGCAATATTGATAGATTTAGGTAATGAAGGATGTGTAGAGACTCATGTGGATCATAAGTACTTACTGAGACCAACAGAGCTACATGACCTGTTCCTGTTCTGCAAAGTCAATATCATTCTTTGTGACACAGTTGCTAAGTCACCAGTTAAGGTTTCTAACACCCTGTTGTGTCTATCAAATTTTATCAATGTTTCACTACCTTAGAAAATGAATCATTACTGGCTCGCATTAAGCCCAGCTAAAAACAATGTTTGTATGGATGACAAGGTCAGAGGATGCTATTAGGATGGATTGTGATGCTTTCCAAGTTGGAATGGTCACCAAAGTCTCACACAAACCATTTGCATTAGATCTCAGAGAGTTGGTGTCTTTGGTAAAACTATGTTCATGCATTTCCACCTTCAAAACAAGGGTTAAAAATTTCCTGAGGAGCATAGTCAGAAATCAAATCAATGCTTTTAGTTTAAGGAATAATAAGGATGAAAAGTATTAAGTTTTCAATCTAATTTCTGATGTTATAGTTGTTACAATTACAATTACACAGAATTTACAGGAGGAGAACAGGCCTTTCAGCAGGTGATATGCCATTCACGAGCTCCATCTCTTTAATCATTCCCCACTCCCAGGCAAGACAGTAAATGGGCAATCTCCTTCCAGACTCTATAATTGGTTACTTAATATTTGTAATGGAAGCTGCATGAGTGAAGTCCCAAGATTTATTTGTATTGTTTCTGCTTTTGTGGGTTATTGGTCTTCGGGAAATTTTTCTCTGTTCACTGTCATATTCAAAACCTAGGTGTATTTTTCTTTACAATGAACCAAGGAAGTCCCCCTCCCATTCTGTGGTAAATTGCACACATTGAACCTGCATCCTGTTGCTTTCAGGCAGAATGTATCAAAGTACCAACACACTAGCCCTATTTTAGTGTTTTTTTATTTCCAAAAAAGTCGTACTTTCGTTTGGATCAGCTAAAACAAAAATAAATACCAAGTTACTTTAAACATTTTATCCTGGTGTAACATTGAAAATCAAATTTGAACACAAATGTTACTGACCCATTTGTTTTTATAATGTTGTACGAAGAAATGATAAATCACTTTTAAGGATAATGTGATGTCTGACATGTGTGAATTATGTTTTGCAGGTGCAGGAAATGTGTCAGTATGACTTATTGGTGCCACTGGCTTTAATGTTTTATTCTGCGACTCTACGAGTAAGTACGAGTAATCATATGTAATAGAAAAGTATAATTGTTCAAATGGTGTGTTAGTACACCATCACATTTAGAGCGTAGAAGTGATTTTTATAAGAAATCTTCCAGAGTCATTGTGAAGTTTTAACTTTTGCTTGAGTAAGCTCCTTAACGGAAAAATAAATGCAGCTATTTTCACTGTACAGTGTGTTTTTTTTGTCTATAAAAATAAGGAGGTCATTTGAAACCATTGGCTAGGCTTCAATTGAAGAATTTTTCTAAATTTGATCACTACACTTTACATGATCATGGAAAGTGAAGTTCTCCAACCTCTCAAATGTACGAATCTCTTTGTATTTAAATCCTTAGTGAGTCATTTGCTCCTTTCACTAACATTCTCAAGCCCTGCCAGCCCCTTCTCTTTAAATTCTCTGTTTCGTTGCTTTTGGACCCATGTGCACCCTTTGGTGATCCCTCCCTATCATTTCTGATTGTGCTCTCAGTTGTTTAGATTCCGTTCACTACCCTAAATGTGCTCCTCTCCTTTCCCTGTCTATGAACCTCCTTAAATCTCACTACTTTCACTAAAACTAGCCTTTCTTCTTTGCCTCAGCTTCTGTTTTCTTATTCCTGTTGTGTGCTTTTGACATTTTTTCTATATTAAATTGCTGTATTAATGTTATGCATATTAATCCCTAACAGATGATCCCCAATTGAAAGGATTGTCTTATGAGCGAAGGCTAAACAGATTAGGGCTCTACTCACTGGACCTTAAAAGAGTGAGACATGATCTCATTGAAACATATAGGATTCTGAAGGTATTTGTCAGGGTAAATGCTGGCAGGATGTTTCCCCTCATGGGAGAGTCCAGGATCAAAGGACATATTCTCAGAATAAAGGTCTGCCAATTTAAAGCTGAGATGAGGAGGAATTACTTCTCTCAGGGGCTTATGACGCTTTTGAATTCCTTGCCTCAGACAGCTGTGTAAATTTAAGGCTGAGATAGACAGATTCTTGATCAGTAGGAGAATCAAAGGATAGAAAAGTGGACATGAGGAATGTCAGATCTGCCATGATCCTATTGAATGGTGGAGCAAGTTTGAGGGGGCCAAATGGCCTACTCCTCTTTCTTTTTCATGTTGTCTTATGGATATATTCTCATCTATCAAGAGCAGTAACTGATAAATGCTATGCCTGTATCACTCTTGAACATTAATTACTGACAGGCACTTGAAGACACCTAAGAATAAATAATTTGATCTTTAAAATAAACATTATAAAATATTCAGGAAATTAAGATAATTTTCTAATTAATTGAAGTTCCTTTAAAGCATTATTGTTTCGATAGAGTAGTTTAGTCTTTGCACGTTTACTTAATCTCTTCGGTCATGGTTTGTAGACTCCATATTTTCCACCGGAATGTAACCTACTCAAGAATGCATACAACATCTACCATGGTCTTCTGACGTGGCCTGTACCATATTGTAATATTTGCAAGGACCTTCTAACATTTATCCAAGATGAAATGAAGGCACCAGGTAGGAATATTTTACAGTATAGTTCTGTAATTACATTCTTTGAGGAGTATACTTAGAAAAAGGTTTTATATCTGTAAAGTGCCTCTTCAACAAGAACAAAATTATTTTCTTTGCAATACTTAGCTGATCAAATGTTAAACAATGTATTAGTCAAGTACAGCAGGTCATATTGTTTTCGTGTTTTACATGGTGCAGTTTATTGCTTAAAACTCCATATAAATAGTTTTTATGGCTTTGCTTTCATAATGTCCTGAAATATGGTAAATGTAAAACTGTTCAAGACTTTGCCTGCTGAAGGACCAATGCTCCTAAAGCTTGTGATTTCAAATAAACCTGTTGGACTATAATCTGGTGTCATGTGACCTCTGACTTTGTTCAAGAAAGGCTGAGGGTTTGCATTCCATTCAGAAGTCTGGAGTTCTTCATTCGCTTTACGATCTCCTCATACAACGTCCATTAGCATGGAAAATCAAAAGTGTCTTTGTATTGTTCCACTGAATGTGGACTTTGAAAATCAAGCCAGCGTCTTTATATTTTTTTGTACATATTGTTGACACAAGGTGGTTCATCTGTTCTTGTAACTTGGATATCCCCTTCTTGAATATTTACATGAGCTCATTTAAATGTCTGTGTATGTCAATTCAGAAGTCTGTGGTCTTACGGTTTGAATTTAGTCGGTGTGCTCTAGAAAAGACATCCATTCAGAATAAATATAGTAAATGTTGTGGTTACTTTTTATGTTAATGCTATGTGTTAGCCAAAATGAGATGCAGCAAATATTTTTAGTCCTGTTTATTTGTCCCAAGAGGGTTTACTAATGTTAATGCTAAAGAAAGCATGAAGAAATTGGAATGAGCAAAAGGCATCAGTCTTGACTTTGATTAATAGACCATGTTTTGCCTTTTATATTGGCATAGATTCAAAACAATTTGTTCAACTCTCCTGAGTGAGATCAGCAATTTTCAAGCATTATTTAATCACAGAACAATATGAAATGCCGGGGCCTACTGTTCAAGGTGCTTCTGAATCTTAGAAAAGACTGTCCAATGACTGCCACATCCTGCCACTGAGCCCTGCATTTCTTTTCAGTTCAAATGTTTATCCAACACCCTTTTGTCATTGCTATTGAATATATGTCTGCTACCTTTTCTGATAGAGCACTCTGGATCATCATAATTTGTTGCATAAAATAATGGTTTTGTGTTTGTCCTCCTTAATGAACTGAAACTTTTCCATGTGCATATTATTTTGCCTCCCTGTTAATAGTCTCAAACTCTTCCCCACCATTGATGTTTAATTAATTGGACTGAACTAAGTGATCTCCTGACACCTTTTATTGAATGATTTTCTAAATGACATTTCATCTGCCACAAATCTCCCATTTAACCAGTTTATGACCCCTGATATCTGTTACTATTCTCCTGTTTTGTACATTTGCAGGTTTCATTTCATCTCCCAGCTTTGAGATTATGTCCTGTACACTTAGTTTGAGGTCAAAAAGAGAAGTGATCCCAAACCTGCTCCCATGGGGACCTTAGTAATACTTCTCTTCTCTCTGAAAAACAACTATTTGTCTACTCTCTGCTTTCTGCCCCTTGGGCAATTTCATATCCACATTGCTACTGTGTCCTGGATCCCCCTTTAGGTTTCTATTTTGCTAAAAAGTCTATTGATCAAACACCTTTTTGAAAATTCGCATATACCTCATCAACCTTCATCCATCCACTTTGTTACGTTACCAAATAACCCAGGCACATTAGTCAAACATAGTCTCTGTTTAAGAAATCTACGCTGACTCTCATTTATTATCCCATCTTTTCCTAGTTCAAATCGAATTTGGCCTTTATTATTATCTCTAAAAGTTTTCTATCACTGATGTCAAACCGTTTTGTTAAGTTGATCACTTCATTTGATCAAAATTGTAGTATTTACAATTTTCCACTCATCTGGCATTAATCCCACATTTGAGAAGGATTGGAAGATTTGTTTATTCGTTCACAGTAGGGATAAAGCTAATAAGTCAAGTGTTTGTTGTCCATTCCGAATTGCTCTTGTATAGTGTTCTTGAACCACCTTCTCAATTACAGTTATGCAGCTTGCTGGTTAATTTCAGAAATCAGTTAAGAGTCAGCAAAATTGCTACGGACCTGGAGTCATGCATAGGCCTGACTGTGTAAGAACAGCAGATTTGCTTCTCTTGACATTAACAAACCAGTTGTGCTCTTACGATAATCCACTAGTTTCATGGTCACCATTACCAAGAGTGGCTTTTTGCTCTGAAACAAAAACCAAAATTGCTGGAGAAACTCAGTAGGTCTGGCAGCATCCATGGGAAGAAAGTAGAGTTAATGTTTCAAGTCCAGTGATTCTTCATCTGAATGCATAGTAGCTAGAAAATCTGGTATGTGTACTGAAACCGAAGTGAGGGGGTTGGGTGGGCTGGGAAGGGGTGAGGTGAGTGGATAGGTGGAGACAGAGCCTAGAGAGAGAGAGATGTGAAAGGGATGGGTAAACAAGGAGATAATGGACAGCAGAACAGAAGAAAATCTGAATAAAAGATAATAAGAACTAGGAGTGAGAAAATGGGTTAGCTGCGCTGAATGCAACCCATATAATGTGATAATGGGCCTAAGATTACATGGGAATGGGTGACTGGGCTAAAAGAAGCCCATGTCCTAATAGGACCAGGTGTGGGGTGGGTGATAAAACAAAGAAGGATGGAATTAGGCTCTGAAGTTATTGAACTTGATGTTGAGTCCCACAGGCTGCAGGTCCCAAGTGGTAAATGAGATGCTGAGCTTTCACTGAGGCTCTATGGAACTCTGCAGCAGGCCTGAGACAGAAATGTTGGCATGGGAACATGGTGGCATGTTGAAGTGGCAGGCGACTGGAAGCTCGGGGTCATTTTTGTGGACAGAGAGTAGGTGTTCTGCAAAGCAGCTTTAAATTCAACTAGATTTTACTGAATCAGCTGAATTTCAACTCCCCAGCTGCTATGATGGGATTCAGACTACTGGGTGGAGACTTATAGGAGCCTGAGCAACATGGGGCTATGATGAGATGTGTGGCAAAATTGGATGAGAAGTCAAACAAGACCCATCCCAACTTCAGGAGCGTCTGCTTGATCTTTGATGCTTTTTGCAATTGGCTTGGAGAGATAGTAATTGAGAGGGATAGCTGCTCGTCCAATCCCTTGTTGACAGTTTGCCTCGATAACATTCAGCCTCCCATTTTACCAAACTTGTGAAACAAGTTTGACGCCAAGAAACCTTGACATGGAATCTAGGGCGGCTATCTGGTGGATTCAGCTCACCATTTGCTCTGAACAGCCGCCATGTTGCCAGTGACTAATCCCCAGCCCAGGGCATGATCCATGGGCACGAGCCACAGGCACACTTTCTCCAGTGGCGTGCAGCATCAGGCAACTCCTCACCACCATCCTGGTACCTCTCCGACACACTGGCCGTGTGCTGAAGCATGCACCAGGATTGTAGAGCACACTGGTAAATACTATTGAAAGACTGCAGTGAAGAATTTGTGCACACAGGCAACCAGCTCATGGACTGGACCAGGTTGCATCTCAAAGCTGCTTGCTCGCTCTCTTAGCACCAACCCACATGTATATGGCATCCATGCTTTGTCTTGCCTTGCCTTGCAATTAGCGTATGACCAGACAAATTGCCTTGTTGCTCAGCTGTTCTCAGTCTGGGGGACACACGTCTTGCTGTACAGCAGTGTGTTGTGTTAATCTCAAAGTCTTAGAGTTGTCGTCCTCACTGAAATCCATGGAGGGTCCCATTGGATTACCTCCTAATAGGTCAAGGGATATCCCAATCCATGAATTTGTCAAGGTTGAGTGTCTGGGTTTTATCAGTCAGCAGTCCTTGTAGCTGCAGTGCAGGGAGTGAGTCAGTCCTTTGACTCCACAGTTACCAGTTCAGAGAGTGGATTAATACAGCACAGGAGACAGATTCCAATCCAGGGACTGGCCATCCTTATCTCATCATGTCAGTCAAGGGCCTGGGTCACGTTCACTCCATTGGGCCTGTCAACAGGAATTAAGAGGAAAGAGGGAGGTGTGGGGGGAGGGGAAAGAGTGGCTGTTGCTAGGGACTGAGCCTCACAGCTTACCCTCTGGCACTGGGGCCTTCAGCTCAGGGGAGTTGGGGATAGCAGTAGTTGTCACCTAGGCCTCAAGGTGCCTTCAAAAATGTTTTTTCCCCTCCCTCCCACTGCATCTTGGTGCATTCCCTTGTCCTGCAGCTGGGGTGAGAGGAGCTAAATTGACTGTGGAGACTTTTGACTCTGGGGGTTTGGTGGGGTGGCCCAGGTGGGCTGGGAGGCTTGTGTCCTGACATGCCCACACATGCCAAGTGTCATCTTGTCAGAGGCAAGTTGACCTTCCTGTGCTCGAATATCCAAGGTCCAGGAGGAGGTGGGGTCAGGCGAGGTGGAAGTGGAGTGTCCTGAGAGGAGATTTTGGAGGGGCCTTTGTGTGTGGATCCTCCTCCAGCTGGCTGCCTATTAGCATCAGCCCATCGCCTGGTGAGGAAGGGGCACCTGGAAAGTGAACAAGGATCCTTGTGCTTCTGTCACCATGCCTTTGGTCCTGAGGGCGAGTGGAGGGGCAAATGGAGGGTAAGTGTGCATGAAAATTCAGCAGCTCCTCACTGTTAATGGGAGAGTGGCAATGGAATAAAGGGTGGCACTTACTCTTCGGGAGGATATTTCTACATTACTGGAGGAGTGCTTCCGGGCTTCTCCTGTGAGGGCCCAGATTCTCTCCTTGTAGGAGGTGAGCATCCGAATGTCAGGAATACCCCCTCGTATGATCTCCGGTTGCCTCCTTCTGGACTGTCGTCTCCTGTAACGTCATAGAGCAGGGGGGATATGAGATGACAGTGGGCGGCACGGCTGTTAGTGCTTGTGCAACTGGGGGGGTAAGATGTTGAGGTGTCCCGAGGGACTGAGGAGGCAGATAAGGTAGCTGCAGTAGGAGT